CGGAGGTATAATAATATGATCGTCTTCCAAAGAATTAAGAATATTAATGAAGTCTAAAGATAAAGGTTTAGGGAGGACCTCATCGTGAATAACAGTAGATATATCTTGGGAAGATGGAGCACCCTTGAAAGATGGATTATATTGAACGAGATCAGGGATGGGCCCATCAGACGAAGGTTTAGACTGGCCCAATAAAACTTGCGCAAATGAAAGTGCTGTTGGGCAAAAATTGGGCTATATGGACCAAAATGAGAAGGTAGAGGATGTGGGCCTTGAGGTTCACGAGGACTACTAGGCCCAAAAGAAAGTAGATTTAGTCCATTAATTGATTTGGGCGGCAGATTGGAACTTGAGGGAGTCACGAGGCGCGTGGCAGCCAAAGGAGATAAGTCAAGGCCATTAAATGCTATGTCTCCAACTTTTGGTGAGGCATTAATGCGCAAGGGGGACCCTTGACGTGTAGATGACGATGCCATATTTAAATTCGCTAACAAACAATCTTGGACGTCGGCCACATTATCGATAAAATGTTGACTTTCCAAATTCGCATGACCTCCCTTCCCAAGGAGCGATGAGGACGACGCAGACTCCAAATAAACAATAGCAGGGGAATCTTTTCCAAAATAGGACGCACCACAGGCGGTTGAAAACGACGACCGGAAGGAGGCAGAAGACCGTCACCGTCGCAAGGAGAAGACGCGTCTGGGGAGATTTCCGAGGGGCCAAGATTTTCCGACGTCAAAGGAGGAACCCACGATGGAACATCGGACGCTGAGCCGGAGAGTGGAGAAGGGGACGTCACGACCGGAGAAAGAATTCTGGTAGAAGGAAGAACTCGAGCCAAATCCTCAGCATCGGAATCGGAACAATCCTCAACCACTCCATCTATTTTAGCGATCTTTTTAAGGGCTTCGTCATTTGCATGGTTTTCAACTTCTGAATCGAAAGCTTCATGGGGAGCAATAAAGGAACCTTCAAAATGAATTTCAGAGACCCTTTCTTCTCCAATCACGTCAACAGGACCTGTTACTACCCCATTATCACGAGCACAACAGTCAATTTTTTCAACCGAGGGTTCACAAGATGCTTCATTCGACACATGGACAGGAGAGTTGGTGAAGAAGAGACCTTTGTTGCTGTGGTTGCTAACACAAAAGACAGAGGAAGATGAAGAACTTTCAACAAACTCAGAACCTCCATGAGAGTTACATGACCCAGGAACCACTTCATCCTTTTGGGGGCTATCTTCGAAGTGAAAAGAGCCAAGAACATCAGTCTCTTCATCATGATATTTTGATTTTTTTTTGAAGATCTACGAACCCTATGAATCTTCTCCATAATATCACAACAGCTTAACTAATTAACAAAAAATACAAACAGATTATAAGAAATTAAGCATGAAACCCACAAGAATAACAAGAACACTTAATCTTCAAAGGAATTTCCTAGAGAGAGAGAAAGTACTCCATGGGTTGGGGTTTTAGGGTTAGGGTTTAGGATTTAGGGTTTAGGGTTTTTTTTAGATAAAAGGCGAAACCCCTTGGCAAATTTTATTAAAAAGAAAAAACATTACAAAAAAAAAGAGGGCAACCGCCCAAAAAACAAGCTACAAGAAACCTAACTAACAACTAACTAAGCTAAACTAGAGAAATTAAAAATACAAAGAAACCTAACTATGAATCACCAACCAATCCACTTCCAAGTCCAATTCCATTGTATAGAGTGAAACCAAACATAGCTTCTAAAAGGATAATCAATGAGATCAAAAGCTAAAATCTTCCAACTCAAAATATCTTCAATGTCTTCAATCTTTATGTAACACTTAATCCTCCACCAAAACAAAGAAAGAATTTTGGCCTCATACTCGAAAAAATAATCCAAGGTTTGAAAAATACCAATCTCACAATACGTCCAAGGAGCATCCAAATCATGAGAATCATTGGCCAACACAATCAAATCTTCAATAAATTCCAAAAAACTCCAATACAATCTAGATCCAAAAATAGCAATCAACTTTGACCATTGAGCTTTAGACTTCTTGCATTCCTCTCCTTTCTTCTTCAAAAAACTTCTTTTAAACTTCATTCCATTCTTCACTTGAAAAACCCATAAGCTCCAATTAATAAACCCATTAACCATCACAACCCCATTTTGACCAATCCAAAAATTATCTTCAAAGTCTTCAAAATTTCTTCCAACATCCTCTTTAGCCAAAAAATTAGTCTTCAAACTCCATAAAAGTATGATGCTAAAACCGTGATATCCAAGCCATTCCCACAACTTCCAAAAAAAACTTCAATTTATCACAATCTTCAATCTTGACAAAGACATCCCAAAAAATCTTCAAGTAGCCATTCAAGCAAGTAATCCAAGTATTCCAAAAATACCCTCGAAGGGTAAACCAACTATTTTCGGGAATTGAACCCTTGGGCAAAAAAATGTCAAAGTTTTTATGGTCAAAAAAATCAAACCAAACAACTATCTTCTTTGGAATCGAACCAAAAAAATAAAATCCGTCAATTCCTTTTTTATTGGGGTAATTCCAAAAATACCCCTGAAGGTTAATTCCAAAAAACTTAAGAATAAAACCTTCAAAATCCACATCAAAGGTAAGAATACCAATGATAACCGGGATAAACCGGTTGGCAAGAATCTTTAGGTAAAACCAAAAGATTAAAAGGATCAAAAAGTGGTTGTTTTTATAGTTAAAAAGGAAACAACCAACCCAAATTTAGTACAGTCTAAGGATGACGTACTCAAGCCCGTGTATTATCAGGTAAATATCCCACCACTTGCTAATCGAACTAGCAGTGGCACCCACCAAAGTGGAGATTCCTAGTTGCCTAGGAAGAAAACACCAACTAACGGGGATCAAACCCATTTGCATTAAGATGATAACCACCTCAAAGGAAAAAATTCCAATGAAATCTGGGATAAACCAGACAGCAGAAATCTTAAGGAAAACCCAAAAGATCAAAATGTGGTTGTTTTTATTATAAAAAAGGAAACAACCAACCCAAAAGTAGTACAGTCTAAGGATGACGTACTCAAGCCCGTGTGTTAACGGGTGAATATCCCACCACTTGCTAATCGAACTAGCAGTGGCACCCACCAAGGTAGAGACTCCTAGTTGCCTAGGAGTAAAACAACCAATAATGGGGATAAAACCCATTTGCATAAATAAATCCACTTCTAAAGAAAAAATCCTTAAGAAAATCGGGATAAAACCGATAAGCAAAGCAATTTTAAAAGGAAAACTGCTAAACCCAATTCCGTCAATTCCACTAATCATCAAACAATCATGATTCTTCTCTCCAACGGGGATACCCCACTTCCTCTTGACTTTGTTGTCAAAACCCAAAAAACCACCCTTGAGCCCAATAAGCTTAAGACGAATTTCTTCAAAGATGTTCAAAATGACTTTATTCTCCTCAGTCTTTCCTTTTCTAAAGAGTCTGAAATTTCTTTCTCTCCATACATGATACACTGTGGCAGCAAAAGCAATTTTCATAATAAAAACTCAAATGCTTTTTCCTTTGAACAAAATCTGAAGTTCTTCAACAAGCTCTTTCCATCCTTGGGAATCACTTCTTATCTCCACTCTATCTTTCACAGCTTTCCAAACAAAAGTAGAGAAAGGGCATTCAAAAAACAAGTGAGAATGCGAGTCTGGCTGATTATTACAAAGAGTGCAATTGAGATTTTTATTCTTGTCCCAAAACCTCATTCTGTCCTGAGTCATTAGTCTCTCCTGAATGGCAAGCCATAAAATGAAACTATGTCTTGTGATGCGTTGCTTAAACCAAACAAGATGAACCCAAGAGACCTTCGAACCACACTCGCTTAAATCATTCCAAACTTGCTGAATATCAAAATCCACCACTTTCCCATCCCTTTTCCTCCATAAAACTTTATCAGCCACCAAAAGATCAAGAACCGGCAGTTGAAAATCATTCAATTGGGGGATGAGAGCAAGCCAATCATTTGGCCAAAACCACGATCTATCAACTATAACATCTTTGACTTTGTCAGATATTCTAAATCCAGCACTTGAAATTTCTCTTGGGGAAAGAACATGAGAAAAAGAACCAAGTTGATGCCAATCATCATACCACATGAAAGTGTTAGCACCATTCCCAATCTTGGTACAAAAATGGTTCCTGAAATTAGGTCTCAGTTTAATCAAATTTCTCCAGCTCCAACTCAAATCATGTTTTTTCTCAGCATCCCAAAAGCTCTTTCCCTTTAAAATGTTGATGTTGATCCATTTAACCCACAAAGACTCACAATTGGATATGATCATCCACATTCTCTTAGATAAAATTGCTTTATTCCAAGCTCTTAAATTTCTAAGACCCAAACCCCCACAATCCACAGGTTTACAGACAGTAGACCAAGCAATTTTAGCTCTACTCTTCTTGGATTCATCACAATTCCAAAGGAAATTCTTCATCATCTTCTCAATCTCCTTAATTGTTTCAGCCGGAATAAGCAAGCAAAAGCCCAATATACTGGCAAAGAATACAAAACAGAAGAAATGAGTTGCAATCTTCCAGCATAAGAGAGAAATTTATTCCTCCAGTCACTAATTCTGCTTCTCACTTTATCAACAAGCCTTTTGCAATCCCTGAAAAATAATCTATTAGAAATGAGAGGAATCCCCAAATATCTCATCGGAAGCTTTCCTTCAACAAAAGACAAAGTATCCAAGATACTTTTTTTCACATTGGCTTTAACATTCCCAAAAAAAATATGACTTTTAGAAAAATTAGGGTGGGGACCAGCCACTTTAGCAAATTCATCAAGGCTATCTTTAATCACCCTGACAGAAGCTTTATTTCCATGAAAAAAATCATTAAGTCATCCGCAAAACAAAGATGAGTAAGCTTAAGCTTCTTACATCTCCAATGGTATTTGAACAAAGCTTCATTCTTTATTCTTCTTTAAAAAATCAAATTAAAGGTTTCCATCACAAGGGTGAACAAATAATGAGAGAGAGGTCAACCTTGCCTAAGGCCTCTTTTGCCTTCAAAGTAACCATGAAAAGTACCATTCATACTAATCATATAGGAAGGAGTACTCACACATTGCATAATCCACTTAATCATTGTCGGGTGAAACCCAAAATGAAAAAGAATATTTTGAAGAAAAGACCAACCAACAGTGTCATAAGCCTTCTGTATATCCACCTTTAGCGCACATCTAGAAAACCCACGTTCTCTATGATACCCCCGAACCAGCTCTTGAGAAAGAAGAATATTGTCTGTAATTGATCTACCAGGAATGAAAGCTGACTGGTTATCAGAAACAATTGATCCCAAATGATTTCTTATTCTGCCAACAATCATTTTACTTATGCACTTGTAGATAACCGAACAACAAGAGATAGGTATGAAATCACTCACAATTCCACGAGAATCAACTTTAGGAACTAAAGCAATGACAGTGGCATTAACTTCTTTGAGAATCTTTCCACTAGCAAAAAATTCTTTGACAGCATGACAAAAATCATCACCAATGATAGACCACATGGATTTGAAGAATTTAGCCGAATAACCATCTGGACCAGGAGCTTTATCATCATCAATATAAAAAAGGGCAGCTTTTATTTCTTCATTTGAAACAATCTGAACCATCTCAACAGCTTGAATAAGATCAAGCTTTTTGACAAATAAAGAATTCGGCATCTCAATCTCCTCACAAAGAACTTCTTTTCCAAGAAAATCCTGAAAATAGTCAACAAATTCTTTGTAAACAGCTTCACCTTCCAGCCACTCCCCCTGTCGATTCATAACTGATTCAATTCTATTTTTGTGAGCTTTTCCTTTAACAATCTTATGAAAATACTTTGAATTGCTATCACCCTCTTTTAACCAATGAATTTTAGCTTTCTGTTTCAGGAACCGTTCCTCCTCATCATAAGCTTTCTTATACTCTCCAAGAAAGATGGCCTCCAAATCACGAAGTTGAGAATTGAAGGGATCCAAATCCAAATCAGATTGGACCGCTTCAAGCTCCTTACGAAAATGATCAACATTTTCAGAAAAATGCCCCTGGATCTTTAACAGCTTGCGAATAGGGTTCTTGAGATTTTTGAGCTTTTGAGTTAATCTAAACATCTTAACTCCTTGAACATCAATATTCCAATGCCTTTCAACCAACAGTTTCAATTCAGGGCTAAGAGCGAGAACATTAGGGAATTTGAAAGGAAGCACAGTGAACTTAGCTTTCATCGGAATTTTGATGACAACAGGGCTGTGATCAGATAGCCTATACGGAAGAAAAGAAGCATAAATGGTAGGAAAGACTTCCAGCAGCCTACTATTACCCATCACACGATCAAGCTTCTTTAAAATACCATTGTTTCCATGAGGCTTTTGGTTCCATGTGAAATTCAAACCATTGCTATTAATATCTTCAATTTCTAGATTATTGATGCAATCAAGAAAATCCACCATGCCTTTAGAAAATCTAGAAGAACCAGCAGTGCTTTCATTGAGATTAAGAGTGACATTAAAATCCTCACCAATGACCCAAGGATCATCACGAACAAACCCTTTGTGATGCACAAGAGAAGACCACAAAGCTCTTCTATCAGTATACTTATTAGCAGCATACATAATAGAACAAAAAACATATTTATTATTAAGAGGAAAACTAACTTTGCAATGAAGAACTTGATCATTATAATCAATCAAGTTGACATAAAAAATATTAGAGTTCCATCCAATAATAATGCGAGAAGTATGTCTAGAATTTCCTTTATTAGCAATCCACTTCCAAGATCCAAAAATCTTATCACACTTCTCTTCAAGCTTACTAAAACTGACTTGAGATTCAAGAACAGCCAATAAACTCAAATTATTCGTCTTGATCAAAATTTTTATTTCTTTTTGCTTAGGGGATTGATTAAAATCCCTAATGTTCCAAATTCCAAAACTAAGCGTCAATGGAAAAGGCTTCCATGTTGGTATCAACCAAAGGGATACCACCTATAACTTCCATTTGATCCACAGTGTCCAGATAAGCTAAATCAACCTCATCAACACCTCATTTTGAGATAACAACTTGATTCTCATCTTCCAAATCCTTTAAAATACCAAACTTGTTGCTAGAAAAAAGATTCACAGAATCGAGACTTTTCTCAATTTGAATATTCTTGTCAAAATTCGAACTGATTTTGAAATCAGCCCCTGATTTCGGAACATAAGAATGCCAGCTGACTTCTTTTTTCCCCGCTACATCTTTCTTTTTAGCTTCCTGGTTTACACGACTCGCAACATTATTCCCCAAATTACCCTTAATTTCCGAAACAGCCTTTGCGCTATTGCCCTTTTCCAAGCTCTTATCGTTTTTACTACTTTGCCCCTGTTCAAACTTAAAATCTTTTGAATTACCATTCATAGACTTAAAATTCCCATTATACCCCTGATTTCCTTTGCCTTTATTCCCTTGATTTCCTGCATTATTGTTTCCAGGTTTAAAAAATTTATTCCCATTTTGCCCTTGATTCCCAACACTCGAACCCACCCACTTCTTCCCATTACTTTGAAATTTCCCATTATACCCTTGATACATCGACTGATTCTTCTTCCCTGTTTCTTCCTTCACCTTTTCCCCTGAGCTCTTCCCCTTATTTTTCTTAAAAACAGTTTGATACCCCTCGTCATCCTCTTCAACTTTTTTAGTGCTTGTTATTAAAACTTCCATTAGATAAATCTTAACTTCCTCCTTATTTTTATCTGCCTTGTTATTACTGTCAATTTCTTGGACTTGTTTAGCTAGAATAATTCCACAGTTAGAATCCTTATGCCCATATACTTTACAGTGAGAGCATTTGGACGGGTTCCAAGCATATTCAACCCTGCATTTCGAGATAATCCTTTCTCCTGTAGTCAAATCAGACGAATAAACTTGGACTTCTTTTAACCAATCTTTAGACGCAGACATCTCAATCAAAATCCTCATAAATGTCGGCCTACCCCAGTGATCTTGACACATTTTCACTGTATGGGCATCCACATCAAGCGGCTTTCCAATTTCCCAAGCAATATGACTAAGGCCTGTTCCATTCTAATATTCAAGAGGGACATTATATATTTTGACCCATACCGGAACTTTATCATGTTGTCCTTTGACAGAGCTCACTCCAGTAGTCCACCTTCTAACAACAAGGGCACTTTCAAAAATCATCCATACACCACCTTCCAGAACCGAGACCATTCCTTGCTCAGAGCTAAACCGAAAGAAATAAATTCCCTCATCATTGACCATAACTTCCTCCAAACCATGTTTTTTCCACATGTTATGAGCAAATTTGTTAACATTGAAAAAATAAACATGCTTGTCTATGAAATAACCATAAAGAGTAGTCTTAAAAGGGCAGCAACCTTTTAGAATGTCACCATAAGGCATTTCCACCACACCATCTGGCATATTAGGATCTTTTTTAATAACAGAGATTAAGTTGGGTGCATTAAGTTTCTTCCCACTAACCTTATCAGCATAAGAAACCTGAACATTGGTCTTAGACCCTTTCTCACTGAAACTAGGAGGAGGAGGATCATTTTTGCTCTGAGTATTCCCCATATTCACTTTCTCTAACATAACATCTGAAATTAGTAAACCACCATTGCTCTGAATATTAGGGTTTAGGGTTTAGGGTTTTTTGGATAAAAGGGATTACCCTTGGCAAATTTTATTAATAAAAAAAGAAATTACAAAAAAAGAGGACAAACGCCCAAGAATTGCTATCACCCTCTTTTAACCAATGAATTTTAGCTTTCTGTTTCAAGAACCGTTCCTCCTCATCACAAGCTTTCTTATACTCTCCAAGAAAGATGGCCTCCAAATCACGAAGTTGAGAATTGAAGGGATCCAAATCCAAATCAGATTGGACCGCTTCAAGCTCTTTACGAAAATGATCAACATTTTCAGAAAAATGCCCCTGGATCTTTAACAGCTTGCGAATAGGGTTCTTGAGATTTTTGAGCTTTTGAGTTAATCTAAACATCTTAACTCCTTGAACATCAATATTCCAATGCCTTTCAACCAACAGTTTCAATTCAGGGCTAAGAGCGAGAACATTAGGGAATTTGAAAGGACGCACAGTGAACTTAGCTTTCATCGGAATTTTGATGACAACAGGGTTGTGATCAGATAGCCTATATGGAAGAAAAGAAGCATAAATGGTAGGAAAGACTTCCAGCAGCCTACTATTACCCATCACACGATCAAGCTTCTTTAAAATACCATTGTTTCCATGAGGCTTTTGGTTCCATGTGAAATTCAAACCATTGCTATTAATATCTTCAATTTCCAGATTATTGATGCAATCAAGAAAATCCACCATGCCTTTAGAAAATCTAGAAGAACCAGCAGTGCTTTCATTGAGATTAAGAGTGACATTAAAATCCCCACCAATGACCCAAGGATCATCATGAACAAACCCTTTGTGATGCACAAGAGAAGACCACAAAGCTCTTCTATCAGTATACTTATTAGCAGCATACATAATAGAACAAAAAACATATTTATTATTAAGAGGAAAACTAACTTTGCAATGAAGAACTTGATCATTATAATCAATCAAGTTGACATAAAAAATATTAGAGTTCCATCCAATAATAATGCGAGAAGTATGTCCAGAATTTCCTTTATTAGCAATCCACTTCCAAGATCCAAAAATCTTATCACACTTCTCTTCAAGCTTACTAAAACTGACTTGAGATTCAAGAACAGCCAATAAACTCAAATTATTCGTCTTGATCAAAATTTTTATTTCTTTTTGCTTAGGGGATTGATTAAAACCCCTAATGTTCCAAATTCCAAAACTAAGTGTCATTGGAAAAGGCTTCCATGTTGGTATCAACCAAAGGGATACCACCTATAACTTCCATTTGATCCACAGTGTCCAGATAAGCTAAATCAACCTCATCAACACCTCATTTTGAGATAACAAATTGATTCTCATCTTCCAAATCCTTTAAAATACCGAACTTGTTGCTAGAAAAAAGATTCACAGAATCGAGACTTTTCTCAATTTGAATATTCTTGTCAAAATTCGAACTGATTTTGAAATCAGCCCCTGATTTCGGAACATAAGAATGCCAGCTGACTTCTTTTTTCCCCGCTACATCTTTCTTTTTAGCTTCCTGGTTTACACGACTCGCAACATTATTCCCCAAATTACCCTTAATTTCCGAAACAGCCTTTGCGCTATTGCCCTTTTCCAAGCTCTTATCGTTTTTACTACTTTGCCCCTGTTCAAACTTAAAATCTTTTGAATTACCATTCATAGACTTAAAATTCCCATTATACCCCTGATTTCCTTTGCCTTTATTCCCTTGATTTCCTGCATTATTGTTTCCAGGTTTAAAAAATTTATTCCCATTTTGCCCTTGATTCCCAACACTCGAACCCACCCACTTCTTCCCATTACTTTGAAATTTCCCATTATACCCTTGATACATCGACTGATTCTTCTTCCCTGTTTCTTCCTTCACCTTTTCCCCTGAGCTCTTCCCCTTATTTTTCTTAAAAACAGTTTGATACCCCTCGTCATCCTCTTCAACTTTTTTAGTGCTTGTTATTAAAACTTCCATTAAATCAATCTTAACTTCCTCCTTATTTTTATCTGCCTTGTTATTACTGTCAATTTCTTGGACTTGTTTAGCTAGAATAATTCCACAGTTAGAATCCTTATGCCCATATACTTTACAGTGAGAGCATTTGGACGGGTTCCAAGCATATTCAACCCTGCATTTCGAGATAATCCTTTCTCCTGTAGTCAAATCAGACGAATAAACTTGGACTTCTTTTAACCAATCTTTAGACGCAGACATCTCAATCAAAATCCTCATAAATGTCGGCCTACCCCAGTGATCTTGACACATTTTCACTGTATGGGCATCCACATCAAGCGGCTTTCCAATTTCCCAAGCAATATGACTAAGGCCTGTTCCATTCTAATATTCAAGAGGGACATTATATATTTTGACCCATACCGGAACTTTATCATGTTGTCCTTTGACAGAGCTCACTCCAGTAGTCCACCTTCTAACAACAAGGGCACTTTCAAAAATCATCCATACACCACCTTCCAGAACCGAGACCATTCCTTGATCAGAGCTAAACCGAAAGAAATAAATTCCCTCATCATTGACCATAACTTCCTCCAAACCATGTTTTTTCCACATGTTATGAGCAAATTTGGTAACATTGAAAAAATGAACATGCTTGTCTATGAAATAACCATAAAGAGTAGTCTTAAAAGGGCAGCAACCTTTTAGAATGTCACCATAAGGCATTTCCACCACACCATCTGGCATATTAGGATCTTTTTTAATAACAGAGATTAAGTTGGGTGCATTAAGTTTCTTCCCACTAACCTTATCAGCATAAGAAACCTGAACATTGGTCTTAGACTCTTTCTCACTGAAACTAAGAGGAGGAGGATCATTTTCGCTCTGAGTATTCCCCATATTCACTTTCTCTAACATAACATCTGAAATTAGTAAACCACCATTGCTCTGAATATTAGGGTTTAGGGTTTAGGGTTTAGGGTTTTTTGGATAAAAGGGATTACCCTTGGCAAATTTTATTAATAAAAAAAGAAATT